TGATACTATCACATTAATATATAATTATTCTTAATTCCATCTGCAGAATGGAATGTTTATTACTATATATTCTTTAGTTAACTAAGATTTCTTAAATATGGAAATCTGACCGTGATTTATCCAGTCATATATCATGCTATTAGTAAATTTTAATTAATTTAAATTAATTAAATAAAACCAGCATAATTACCAGTTATGTAGATATTCTCATCAGATGAGTAGGTAGTCCCAGAGACTTGATTGGTTGTATGTAGGTGCATGAATTATAGTGAAAGGTGGTGTTGGTTAGAAAGTCAGTAAAATTCTAAGTGTTAGAGTTTTAAGAGTAGAGTGTTAGTCCCAGATGTTTCTTGAGCCTCTCTCTCTGCATGTCCGACTTGGAATCCCCAAACTTCCAATTCGTCTCTCTGTCTCTCTCTCTAACTACCCTGTCTTCCCTTTGTCCTAACTTTTAAAGGGCCAGACTCTCTGTACGTCATTAGATGATAACCCAATAGGCAGCCATAGGTGTGTCCAATCGATGGATCGCAATTTAGGTATTTGATCCATAGAGGGCAGTCTCGTCTAACAAAACCTTCCTATCCAGGAAAGAGTTAACTTTTCCTGATGACGATTTTGAGGTCATTTGGCTTATCTAAAATGACTACCATAACTTAGATTTGTTGTCAGTTCAAAGCGTTTGTCCCAGTCTTTGTGGCATCTACTTTGATCGTAACTTGTAAAATTGACAGTTCTAAACTCGATTTCACCCCTTACTATAATGGTACCTTGTAAGATTTAGAAAGTAAAATCAATTACTTAGTCTTCTCTGTCACTAGTGTCTGTGTTTAGATAATGCATCTATTCCATTAACATTTTAGACAGAGCATTCCATCCCCCTTGCTTCATTGCTTATCTTGGTTTGTTTATATAATACATTCCTCAGCTCAAGCAAGTGGCTAGTTACAGAAGTAAGAAGAAATCAAGGAAATTATGTGTTTTTGTTATCCTGAAAATAGCAAAATGGAGTCTGCTTTGTTCTGAATGGCAGTGACAATATACACTTTTAATTTCTTTTTAGCACAAAATGTCTGTTGATATAAATATTCTGACAACCCCTAGTTGCCCCCACAGACACCTCAGTGGGGCCATTAGCTCCACAATTTTCTACTCCCATGATACCCAAAGTTGAGAGTGTATACCATGAGCACAGACAGCCGAGCTCAGGTATCCAATACTGGGAAGAATATAAGCCCTGGACACCCAGTGAACAACTGGCAATAATTAATACAGCAGCTGGCAGATGTTGAAAAGGCCCCCTTAGCTCTAGTTCAGTCTCTATCCACAATTCAAGCTACTTACCAGTGTACTTGGATGGATTTAAAACAGATTGTGGCCCTAAAAGCTGGCCCAATTTTGGCTAGAATAATTGCTAAATATACAGATGCCCATGAAGATAACCTCAGAAAAAGCAACATGCAAACAGATGAATGATTTAGAACCAAGTCTGCATCTGGAGCATGCTATGTCACTGCAATGAGAGAATGGGCTAAGGTAAATACAGAAGAACTAGTCCATAAATTAGGAGATATACTACAAGGGAAAGATGAATCTGTAGAAACATTCTTCACCAGACTACAAATGGCTTGGGAGGCATTGGGTTACACTGATGTTGTAACCACTTCCACCAGACTGCTTATTAACTGCTTCATGGATGGTATCCACATACCCATAAGGACTGGTCTCCAAAATGCTAGACCTGAGTGGAGAAGTTTAACCTATGGTGATCTGGTGAAGGTGGCTAGGGGAGTGGAAGCTAATCTAAATACTAGAAAGAGGAGCACACCTCTAATGGCTGTAACTGTACCTAGAGCTGGTGGAGACAGAAGGCAGGTAGACTGCTGGAATTGTGGCAGGAAAGGACACATTAAACGCAACTGCAGGTGTCCTGCTAAAAATAGAAAACCCCAGGATTCTAATGATAACCCCATGACAGCCAACCACCACCACCTCCCCCTGCCCCCCCAATAGGAAATTGGCAAACCAGTGTCCGTACATATCATAAATATCCCTGACTCTGCAGGACCCTCACCCATTATCAATGTTACACTGCCTGGGGACCGAATAGTCCCTTTCCTGTTAGACACTGGCGCTGCTAAATCAATGTTACAGGAAAAATATGTATTCCCGTATGAGAAATCTAATGATGTATTATCATGTGTAGGGGTAGATGGTATCAAAAATGACATTCCCCTTACCCACAAGTTGAAATTGAAGCTACACGACTCTACTGCCCTTGTAACAAGGCTACTTGTCAGCCCTCATGCCCCTGCTAATCTACTAGGCAGTAATATACTGTCTGCTCTTAGTGCAAATATCCAGTATAGCCCCACTGGAAAAGTAACATTGTCTGTGCCTTTAGAGGACAAACAAATGATATCTCTTTCAAATGTTCTGGCAACTCTCACTATGCCCAGCCATATGCCAGAACCTACCATTGACTTGTCCTCAGTCCCCGATTCCTTATGGGCTACAGGGAAGACAGATACAGGTAGACTCTCTGTGCCCCCATTCAAAGTGAATCTCCTGCCCGGAGCCAAACCTCCCTATCAAAAACAATACCCCCTAAGCCCAGCACAGGAAGATGCTATTTCGCAATCTGTGCAAGAGTTTCTGCAGGCAGGGGTAGTTGTCCAGACCACCTCCCCTTGTAACACACCATTGTACCCAATTAAGAAAAAGCAAGAGAAAGGGAAACCTGTGGTCTACCGTATGGTACATGATTTGAGGGCAATTAATGCTGTAACTGAACTCATTGCCCCTAATGTTCCCAACCCACACACCTTGTTGGCACAAATACCACCTTCCTCTAAGGTATTTACTGTTATTGACTTGGCAAATGCATTTTTCAGTGTCCCCCTGGCTCCCGACAGTCAGTTTTTATTTGCATTTACACATAAACACAAGCAGTACACTTGGACAGTATTGCCACAGGGTGCACAAAACTCACCCACTATGTACAGCATGGCTATGGCACAGATTCTTGAAGAATGGCAAAGGCCAAATAACGTAATTTTATTGCAGTATATCGATGACCTACTCCTATGTTGCGATAGTATGGAATCTTGTATTGTAAACACTCTTTCCTTGCTGAAATTCCTAGAAAAAGCAGGCTGTAAAGCGACAAAAACAAAACTGCAAGCATGTGTAGAGAAAGTTATTTTCCTAGGACATTGCATTTCCCAGGGCATAAAACATCTCACGGAAAGTAGAAAAACTGCAGTTCAAAATATTAGACCCCCCCCGCAGTTTAGCCCAGGTTCGTACTTTCCTCGGTTTGATTTCTTACTGCCCCCCTTGGCTGCGTTCCGTAGCTATCTACATGCAACCACTGTATGATTGTCTTGCCAACGAAAACAAACCATTTAAATTAACCCATGCGGCAGAAAATGCCTTCTATACCCTTAAGTTACTGGTAACGTCAGCTCCGGCACTGGGTCTCCCAGATTACAGAAAGAATTTTAACCTGTTCTGTACTGAGCAATCAGGTTATGCTACATCTGTCCTTACACAGGACCATGGTGGTAAACAAAGACCAATAGCATACTACTCCACCAGATTGGACCCTGTTGCCAGGGGTGCCCCCTCATGTGTTAGGGCAGTGGCGGCTGTTACTGCCCTCCTGGACAAAGCCACTGATATTGTTTTAGATAATCCGGTGACCATATACACACCACATGATATCAACAGCATACTCTCACAAGTTCAACCAAAACACATATGTACTGCAAGGCATCTCAGAATGCAATGTGCCTTGCTTATGCCACCTAATGTTACTCTTAAAAGGTGTATGGTGTTAAATCAATCTACATTGCTTCCCCTGGATTTAAAAGAGGGGAGTGGGGATAGTGTAAATGGTACTTGTACTTCTGATCTTTTTGTAAATTCACTTTCACCAGATGAGTTAGCTGATGCCCAGGTACCCCATGATTGTGCAGCACTAATGGCACAAGAGACAGCAGGTTTTTTTGCATGTAATTGATTTTCCATTATCTAATGCAGATTTTGAGTTTTTTGTAGATGGTTCCAGATATGCTGATGAGAAGGGTAATTTCCACACTGGATATGCTGTAGTCTCTGCACACGAGGTAATAAAAGCTGAACCACTCGCTTCCTCACTGCTCTGCACAGGAGGCAGAGCTGAAGGCACTCGCTGAAGTGTGTAAAATGACTTCTGGTAAGACTGCTAATATTTATACAGACTCTCGCTATGCTTTTGGTATAGCCCATGATTTTGGCCCTATATGGCGGGCTCGTGATTTTCTCACCTCAGCAGGAACTCCAATCAAGAATTCTGAAGCCGTGAGTGCACTTATGGACACTATCCTGCTACCCACTCAAGTAGGCATCATCAAGGTGGCAGCTCACGTGAAGATCACAGATGAAATCTCAAGAGGAAACCACAAAGCAGACGAAGCTGCCAAGCAAGCAGCAATCCAAGTTCATCCCTCTACAGGTAATATCTTTCTACAAGTTGTTCTTACAGATGACACCGTTGACTACAATATACTGTTGAGCTTACAAAGACAGGCAAGCAAGGAAGAACATGACCTCTGGAGGAAACAAGATGCAGAACCTGATGATGACAGAATGCGGAGAAAAGGTAAAAGACTGTGTTTACCATGAGTGTTGTACCCCATGATGGCCCAGATTGCCCATGGACCTACACATCTACCCAAGATGCACATGAACAGCATAGTAAACACCCATTGGGTAGCACCCGGATTTACTGTTGTAGCAGCTAAACACACCCAAGCTTGCATGATTTGTGCTAGAAACAATCCAGGACAAGCTGTGAAAACACCAAGTAAGCACACACCAAGGCCACTTTACCCGTTTCAAAGACTGCAGATAGACTATATTCAACTACCTAATATAGGAGTGTATGAATATGTGTTGGTGTGCTTTGATCTCTTTTCAGGTTGGCCTAAGGCCTACCCAGTGTTGAAAGCCACAACGAAGGTCACAGCAAGTAAGCTTCTGAAGGAACTGGTATGTAGATATGGAGTACCTGAAGTAATTGAAAGTGACAGAGGTAGCCATTTCACTGGGGAAATAATGCAAGAAATTATGAAAACCTTAGGGATCAGTCAGGCCTTCCACACCCCCTATCACCCCAAGAGTAGTGGGAAAGTAGAAAGGGAAAATGGCACCTTAAAGAACAAGATTGCAAAAGCCATGCAAGACACAGGGAAGCCCTGGACTGAATGCCTTCCCCTAGCACTCTTTTCTATGAGAGTCACCCCCAATTCCAGACATGGCCTATCCCCTTTTGAGATCCTGTTTGGATGTGCCCCAAAGACAGGCCTCTATTTTCCCCAAACCCTCCAGATGCAGCATGGTAGTATGTTTAGGCACTACTTCCATTTGATAAAGTCTATTGACGAAACGCGTTATGGATATTTTATACTGTGTATTTTAATATTAAAGTAATTTTTGGTCATTTATTTGTTCCAATTATTCTTTTTTTCTAGTTTTATATACACATTCTTTCTTTTTTAACCTGGCTTTTTAGTATTTTTTTATATATTTTTTAGTATTTTATGTACTATTATATACCAACACCTACTTCGGTAGTCTCCTGCACTCCAAGAAATCCAGAGGTGGGGATCAATCCACCTATGCTGTCACATAAGAGCAGTCGGTCTGCTCCTCATTTGTAAGTACGTTTTTATCTACCTATATTAAGACTACTATACAGTGAGCACTATCAGCTGTCTCTTTTTTCCTTATTTGAGAGTTGGACACCACTGACGGAGAGATACCCACGACATATACTACAAGCGGGGATCATACCGCTGTATGCGCTTTTACCCTAGAGCTGGACATAAGCTCTATCAAATGTGAGTTCTCATCTATTATTTTTGAAATACGTCACCACTGGAATTATACAATACTACACTATTGGTCGTCCCTCTCTCTCTCTTTTTTGTCTTCTATGTAAGTGGAACTAATACAGTTTATGAAGACTTCAACACTGCACTTTTTGTGATAAAGACTATTCGCAAGGACACTTAAGTTGGACTTTTTATTTATCGAACTTATTTTAGCCTTCCTGTGGCGCAGCCTTTTTACTATTGTTTTATCCGTCTTGTTTTAAAAGGGTTTGGTGGGTTTCCCTTTTTAAGGTTGCTGCCTGTCAGTTAACTAGCGCTGTCTCTCTTCTTACATAGGGTGCATAAACAAGCCTTTGATTCTATTCCAGATCCAGACTCTGATTCTGCAACCCACAAACTGCAACCTGGTGATTGGGTGGTGATAAAGAGGCATGTGAGGAAAGGACTTGAACCACGCTTTGACGGTCCATTCCAAGTGCACTTGACTACGGCTACCTCAGTGAAACTAGAAGGAAAAGCCATGTGGATACACGCCAGTCACTGTAAACAAGTCACTCCGACTGATCCACCAACATGAAGCTGTTCTTATCCTTTACCATTGTATGCTCTGTTCAGATATGCTACTCTGACTTGAGACCAGAAAATAATAAAGCATGGCAGGAAAATATATGGTTGCAGATAGCAAAGGCTTTTAATTTAACCTCCTTTTGCCTCAACCCTCTCCTCAGTACTGAAAACGCCATAGAATCTTGTCTTATAGCTGTCCCTACCCCCATCTCACTGTTAAGAAAGTACCTACATACCCATAGACCCCATAAATCTCTACAACTATATTCTTATGCCTTCAACCCACTTGTAGGCAAGCCTCCTCTAGCCCTGAAGACAATTAATGTGACAGGCGCTGAACTATGTTGGTCTTTTTCATGTAATTGTTCAAGAGACCCTAATACTGAATCCCTGTTTTGCCCCACATGGTGGAAAAATACCACGAATTGTAGAGCCCTAAGCACCACTATGAATTGTACCAAAACTCACCAAGTTATGAGTTACCACTACAATGTCTATCTTCCTAAAGGATGGACTTTCTCCTGTGGAAATATTACTTATGCTTATGTCCCAGGTAACATTACAGGAGGTCCCTGTGCAATCTCTCGCCTAACCATGACCATGTTTTCCAAATCTGACCTGATCACTAAAACCACCCAGCTACACAAACTGCTGAGAGACAGGAGAGATGTTAAAAACACCCTTAATGCAGATTGTAACCCTGAAATCACTCTCTTATCTAAAGCCGAATACTCTGCCCTAGCGTACACCTTGGTAGGAGTCCCAGGCTTAGCATTGTATAATACCCAAGTAGTAAATGCTGTAGCCTGTTCCCTTGCAAAAGGTTTAAATGCCACTTCACAGGCCCTAGAAGAGCTACTTATGGACAGCCAGGCAAATAAGAAGGCAATCCTTGAGAATAGAGCAGCCATTGACTACTTACTAATGAAACATGACTTAGGCTTTGAAGCTATTGAAGGTATGTGCTGTTTTAACCTATCTGACCATGGCACTATGATCCATAAACATATAAAAGATTTACATGACTTAGTACAGGATATCATACAGGATACTGGCTTCTTTGGGGATTGGGATTGGACATTTGGGCTAGGAACATGGTTAACTTTACTAATTAAGAAGATTTTGTACTTTTTGCTATTAGCTGTAGTTGTCATTATGGCTATTTTTCTAACCTTTAGATTTTTTTCATGTCTACTAACCTCTCCATGTAAAAGCAAACCTACTGTTGATTGTACCTTAACTTACATTCCAGCTCCGACTTCGGAAAGGTTTTATGATGTTACCTCGCCTAACAAATGAAGGAACTCTCCTCTGCTGATTCTGGTGATCTCTCAGTCCAAGGGAACCGTGGTGAAGCAATAAATGAAAGTCCCACAGGCTTTGGCTAGCAGGCCTGGATATACCTTGGACTTTTGGGTGACCCTTGGATCAAAAGAGGGGATTGTGATAGAATTTATCTTGATTCCAAGGCTCAAGCTTATAAGTGTCATATAATGATATCCAATATTTAAATTGGCTAACTTGGACTCAGGAAATGCTTGATGCTTAAACAACACTTAAGACCATATATGTCTAAGTTCCGGGAGCAGAGAGCCCCCACCTAAGATGTCTCTGCTCTAATCATTTTGTTCTCTCTTACCTTGAAACTTATTTGTTATGTGTACATGACACTCATCCCTATGTCTTATCTGTACTCTCTTCCTATTACTGTTCTAAGAGTATTTGCACGTAAGCACTTACTTTTTAATGTATAAAACCCAGCTGATGAATAAAACGTCAGAGGCTTATTTTGAATACCAACAGGTGTCTGGTGTCTAATTCTCGCTTCTCCAAGTGCACTTGTAACAACAATTTGGGCTTCCTCTGAATATAACAAAGATCAACATTTCTGATCCACAACACTACTTAAATTGTATAAATTGCCATGCATGAGTGCCATTAAAACCAGTTTGTTTTACCCTGAACCCGCAGCCTTGACTTGTGTTGTAGGGAAAGGTGTATCCTAGCTGTGCTATAGCTAGTGGGATGTTCTACATTTCCAGGCATTACTACTGTATGCTGATTTGAGCGTCTCTCCCTCTCTCCAAGTTCGGGAACCAGGATATCCAATCGGTCCAACTTCCAGCCAGCCTGGAGGCAACCGTAACAGTGAGAAGTACACAAAGTTTTACTTTTGTGGGCCCTAAATGCTGCTTGCCATACAGTCTGGAGGTCCGCCTGCCATAGTGTTTGGTATTTCCCTGTGTCTTTGTTTTCTGCTTGGTTTAATAGTTTGTAAATTAAAGAAATTATTTTTTTGGGTGTACTCATGGCAATGAAGGCCTTCTCAAAGTGTGAGAAAGGCTTTAGTACTTCCCAGCATAATGGGTTTGGACAGCAAGGATTTAAGTTGGAGATAGGAAAAAGTTGCTCTAGTGGGCAGATTGTAAGATTTGTCAGAGATATCTGCAGTTGTGTCAAGGTGAGGAGAACGTCATCTGCGAATAAATTAGCTTTATATTCAAACTCTCCAATGGTGACTCCATGAATGGCGGCATTGTCCCTAATTCTAACAGCAAGCGGTTCTAGCCCCTGTACATAGAGCAGGCACCCCTGTCTCGCCCCGTTGGTGATTTTAAATGACAGGCATCCCGCATTAATTACTTTTGTGGTGGGTGCAGTCTGAAGCCCTCTAATCTCTCCGGTATCCCTACTTTGACCATGACCGCCTCCAGGAAGCCCCGGTGGGGACTGTCAAAGGCTTTCTCCACATCTAGGGATAGAATCAGCCCTCCGCCTATGTGAAGTTGCTTCATGCTATGTATTATATCAAGAACTTTATGTGTATACTCTGACCCTTGCCTGCCCGCCACAAACTCGACCTTGTCAGTATGTATTAGGTGAGGTAAGATTTTTCTCAGTCTGAGTGCAAATAGCTTGGCGAAAAGTTTAGCATCAATGTTAAGAAGTAAAATCAGCTGAAGGTTTGGGCTTGGGTAGTTTTACTACGTGGGCCATGAGTGTGTCCTTGTGTAGAGTTGGCCCGGTAACTGCCTCATTGAACATCTGCGTGAGTGTGGTGCTAGGATGTTGCAGAAAGTTTTGTAGTTGGAATTGTCAAAACAGTCTGGTCAGGGGATTTCCCTGTTTTCCGGGTTATCACTGATAGTACCTCCTCCTCTGTGATAGGTGTACTCAGGTCTGTCTGCTGTTGCGTAGTTAGTGTGGGGATATTGGTGTTTTGTAGGTATGTACGTATATTCTCCTGCAATGGCTGGTATGTAAGTGCATCATGTTTTAGGTTGCAGAGGCCTTATGGGTACCAATTTTTTCCCCGATTTAGAGAGTATAAATGCCAATTTTTGGTTACTTTGTGTACTGGTTGAGTTTTAGTTTTTTGAAATTGTATCCTGTCTGTTCTAATGCTTGGCGGTGTATTTGTTGCGTAATGTTTGCAATTTTTACTTTCAAGTCATGTGACTGTGTATTTTGGTTTTGAATGTTTAAATGATACAATTAATTTTGCCATGCCTGTAGGGAGTCTCTAGCTTTTTTCCATATTAATGATGCCCGTCTTATCAGTATGCCTCTAGCTACAGCTTTTTGAGCTGCCCACATAGCGCTAGCGGGCATTCCAGGTGTGTGGTTATCTAGGAAGTAATTTGTGAGGGTAGTTTGTAATTCCTGAGTGAAAGTTGGGTCTTTCAGTAACGTTGTGTTGACTCGCCAAGGGCTTTTATGATGGAAGTCGTATTGGTCTTTAAGTTCGAGGGTGACTGGGGCATGGTCAGACCACGTTATAGTGCCCACCTCACAACCTAAGATTTGAGAGAATGAAGAGCCGTGTAAATAGAAACCATCTATACGGGAGTAGGAGTTGTGTACCTGGGAGTAATGCGTATATGAGCATTCCTGCGTGTGTGTGATCCTCCAGGCATCATAATCGTGTTGTGTATGTAAACATTTTTGCAATTGTTGGCAGCCTCGCTTGAGGGTCTGAAAGCTTTTGCTAAATGGCGATAATGTGGTATCTAATTTAGGGTCCAAAGATTCATTGAAATCACAGCTAATTATCGTCACACCGGTCTGTATTTTAGTCAGTTTGCAGAATATTTGATGTAGGAAGTTGCGTTGGTTAACAGTGGGGGTATATACGTTAGCTAGCGTGTATTGCATATTGTTGATAAGGTAGACTATGAAGACATAAAAGCAGAAATTTTAAATAACTTTTTCTTCAGTATATATTAATGAGGATGCTATGGCAAAATATATGCAAATGATGCCTGCAAAAAAACTTGCAGATAACGTGTGATTGGATAGCTTGAGACAAGGTGCTACAGCTATTAAAGAAAATTAAGGTAAATAAAGCTCCGGGGTCTGATGGTATTCACCCACGAGTACTTAAGGAGCTAAATGGGGAAATAAATGAACCTCTGTATTTAATTTTTTAAGATTCTTTTGTTTCAGGTATTGTACCGGAGGATTGGAGGAAGGCAGATGTTGTTACTATATTTAAAAATGTTTCAAAATCCTTGCCTGGAAATTATAGACCTGTGAGCTTAACTTCTGTGACTAGGAAAATATTTGAAGGGCTATTAAGGGATAATATTCAGGAATTCATTGGGAAGAACTTTGTTATTAGCAATAATCAGCATGGCTTTATGAAACATAGGTTATGTCAAACTAACCTAATTGCATTTAACGAAGAAGTAGAAGTATAGATCAGGCTGTTGCAGTGGATGTGATCTACTTGGATTTTGCCAAGGCATTTGATACGGTTCCTCACAATAGGTTAGTCTTAAAACTAAAAGAAATTGGTCTAGATGAATATTCTTGTTGTTGGGTAGAACATTGGCTTAAGGATAGATTACAACAAGTTGTCATTAATGGTAAATTTTCAGGCTGGACAAAAGTGGAAAGTGGTGTCCCTCAGGGTTCTGTTTTGGGACTGCTTTTATTTAACACATTTATAAATGATCTTGAAATAGGCATTGAAAGCCATGTATCAGTGTTTGCAGATGACACAAAACTTTGTAAAGTAATACAATGCGCAGGATATTGCTTTGCTGCAGAGGGATTTGGATAGATTGGGGGACTGGGCACTAAAATGACAGATGAAATTTAACGTAGAGAAATGCAGTTATGCAATTTGGGATTAAGAATGCACAAGCAATTTACACCCTAAATGGTAGAGAATTAGGGATAACCACACACAAGAAGGATTTGGGAACTGTTATAGACAACAAATTAGGCAGCAATATGCAATGTCAATCTGCAGTTGCTAATGCCAGTAAGGTTTTGTCATGTATAAATAGGGGCATAAATTCTCGGGATGAAAATATAATTTTGCCTCTTTATAACTTGCTGATAAGACCACACCTTGAATATGCTGTGCAATTTTGGGCACCTGTTCTAAAGAAAGATATCATGGCACCAGAAAAAGTGCAGAGACAAGCTACAAAATTGATAAAAGGAATGGAGCATTTTTTTTTTTTCATTCTTTATTTTTATTCGTTCATGAATAAACCGTCGGGTCTGTCACGCCACAATAGCAATGCAAGACCTTACATCAACAAGTGGTAACATTGCATTATAAGTTCTGTGCACAATTTTGAATTATAATTAAAAGTGAAAGTGACATGAAAATAATGACAGACAAGGTATGTGACAGTCGAGTGTTATTTCAAGCTGGTGTGTCTAAGTTGTAGGCATTTTAACTGCTTGGGTAAATGGATGTTCTCTTATGAACACGTTGACATAGTTAGTAACATGCTTTCAACATTGCATGAGAAGTTAAGAAAAAAAAAAGTGGTGTGCAAGCTTAAGTGAATCGGTTTCATAACAAATATGGCCCACTAGCTTAGATAAGGATGTCTGAATCTGGGGTACCAGGTTACTATATTGCAGGCTAAGATAATTTGCTAGTAGAATTATTATGAAATGCAAGTTGTAAATGTCTCTGTGAGGTCGAGTTATGTGGCAAAGATAAGTAAGGCACCCCTACGGGAGACAAAACAGCTTGAAGCACCACAAAACGATGTGGCTCAATAGGGGCCTAGTGGGGGCGTCCATTTTTCCAAGTCTGCATTTTACTTGTGCATAGAGTGACAGGTTTTTGTAACGCCACAACAGCGGGTGCAATGTCAATACGTCCGTAGTGAATTATAACCTGGCAGATTAGACAGCACATTTTTATATTTAGTGAAGGTAGCGGTCCAGCAGTGTGTACATGGATTCTAATTTTACAAGTTTACATCTGTAAGCTATAAACAGAGGCATGTAGGGAACCTGAGGCTTAGTGCCCAATATAGTTATAGACCAACCCTTGTAGGATTAGCTGTCCCGTCGTGAGGTACCTATGTTGTTTTCCAATCCCATTAGCTGAGTCTAATGGGATTGGAGGATTTGGATTGTGGCACCTTAGTAATGTTCCTTCTAGAGTTTTGGTGGTCTGCTTGCTAGAGTAGCTTATGGGGTTCTGGCCCTGGTGTGATGTGGGCGTCTTAGTTCCCTCAATTCTCAGGGCAGTTTGGGGGGGGAGGGTGAGCGGGTCTCGGTGTCAGATGGTCCCATATGGGTAAGTGTGTGTAGTGGCTGAAAGAAGTGGGTGGGCCTCTGAGGTCGTGTGTATAGTAGCGTCAGGAGCAAGTGGAAATAGCTATGTGGAAGAGGTCATTACATGTTGCAGACAAATAGAATTTAAAAGTGCAAAAATATAAAAACAAGAAAACTTTAAACTGTATTGCCTATGGGGGCAATTCTCAATGCATAGACATAAACCTTATACAGTCTAGGTCTCATTTAGGTGAGAGTGTCCCGTTCCCCTCCGGGAATGAAAGGAGGTATGTTGTCAACGTCCCAGGTTCTTTGGGGTAGTGTCATCGGGTCTGGCGTAGGCAGGCCTAGGGCTTGGAAGAATTGCGGGCCCTCGGTGGGGTTGGTAATCTTGAAGGTTTTCCCCTCTTTGGTGCGCAGCAGTGCTCTTGAATTGGTCCATCTATAGGGAATGCCAGCGGTTTGCAGGGGCTGCGTGATGGTGCGCATTGATTTCCGCCATAGGAGTGTGGCTTTACTGAGATCCTGATAGAATGTGAGTGAGTGATTCTCGAATTGGAACGGGGTTTTCCCCCGCAGAGTCTGCAGTAATCTTTGTTTATCCGCAAAGGATCGGCAACAGAGGATAACATCCCTAGGCTGGGAGTTTGGTGTTCGCAAGGGTGGTGCGATACGGTATAGTCCGTCATAGGCAAACTGTTTAGCATGCTTAGTTGGGAGGATGGCTGCGGTGAGTTGTCTGATGAGGTGAGGTAGTTCTTCTGCTGGTACGGTATCCTCCACTCCTCTTATCTTGATGTTGTTTTGTCTGCTTTTATCTTCCATAGCATCCATTCTGGCTGCTATTTGTGAGTGGGAGGTTTGTAGCTGCTTTATAGCTTCCCCTTGGGTGGCCATATTTTGTTTGATGTCTGCAGAGTCCTCCTCGGATACCCGAAGTCGTTCTGTTATTGCTTGCATCTCTGCTTTAATCAGGTTGAGTTCTGCAAAGAACATGTCCTGGAAATGTGCCAGGAGATCGTGTATGTCCCTTTTCGTCATTGGTGGTTCACTTTCAGGCATAGCCTGAGCTCCCTTCTCGGGTGCCTTGTCCGCCACTGGCTCAGTTGTAGTCTCCCTCCAAGGGGATGATGGCTCCTGCGTGCGGGGAGTCGAGGCCAGCATCTGGCCGATGTCGTGGTTTGAGGCGGCCGCGGACGGAGCTGGTTTTTGTGATTTGCGGCCCATCGGGGGATCTGGTGTGCCCCAGGGTATGCCGGCTGCTTGTGGGTCTGTATCCCAGTAGTCTTCGTCCCAGGGGGCGATACGCAGCTGCCGCGGGAATCCCGCCCGGTAGGCCCGAGGCCCCCGACGGGCACAAAAAAGGCATCCACCGGTCCGGTATGCGGACCCCAGTATAAGGGTCGCTATTTCGGCTCTGAGTGTGTGGCGGTGCGCCAGTTATAAGGGATTTTCCAGGCGATGAGTGAGGAGCTGGGTGAAATGGCGTCTGCTCCTGTACGCCGGTAGCTCCGCCCCCTCCTGTACGCCAGTAGCTCCGCCCCCAGGAATGGAGCATTTTAGTTACGAAGAAAGGTTAAAAAATGTAGATCAGTTTAGTTTGGAAAAAAGGCGCCTGAGAGGGGATATGATAACATTATACAAATAAATTTGAGGCCAGTACAAACCTTTATCTGGAAACCTATTCATGAACAGGGCTGTACATAGGACACAAGGACAAACAATCTCTAATTTAAGTTTTAGCCTAGGTAGTTAATTAATTGATGTTGTATTGATCCTTGTGTTTGTATGATTGTAGAGACCGTCCTGGAGTGTTTGTGCCGCCTGATTTCTGGGACTACACACCAATCTCTCTGGCTAACCATGCAATAAGTATTTTGCAATTACATCTGTTTGGTCATTATCCATGCAGGCCAAGGAAACTGGAGATACTTATTTATGAGGACATAAACTTTGCACGCAAGAACCTGGAAAGTCCTGAAGGTGCAGTGCTGTCTAACACCGCTGGTTCTGTAATAACCCTTTCAACCATTGGGGTGTTGCACAGAGCTTTGTGGTGAAAATCCAGCAAACAAAAGAAGAACTATGTGGAAGCTGACATTGTCTTGTTGTCAGCCATATTGCTACCCTTAGCCATTTTATGGAACAAAATGTCTGGTGTCTAAACTGATTTCTTTATACTCTGTGAAAGACTTATTCTATTTTTCTGAACTATGACGATCTATTGAACTATTTTTATTTTTGTAGAGTTAGCCGGAGAGAGAGGAAGTGTTAGCTGACCCAGGGATGGATGTACTATGTGTATCTTTGATGTATGTTGAATGTGCCAAGGATGGATTCCCATGTTTTGAGGAACTGTGTGAGGATATGACTGGTTTTGACTGGACATTTGGAATAGGGAAATGGTTAAAAGATATAGGACGCAAGGTCCTGGTTGTGATTATTGTCAGAATTTCAGATAGATTATAATTTATCTCATGAATTAAAATGTAAGAAGTGTTTCTCAATTCCTCCCAATACCCGAGCTATGTACGCACAGGTGCGGGTATTATAAGTCACAAGTGGTGTCAACTGTGAGGGGATGACAAGTCTAATACGATCGCAGCCCCCACTCAGGTTTTCCCTAGATGTGCTTTTTCCTCAAATATGAGTTTTTGCCATTGGGTTTTTGCCTGGTCCCAGATCATCGGGTGGACTGGAAATCCTAGACCCTGGTCCTTGGACGGGGGATAGGTATTATTCCCACTTTGACTGTATGCGCCCACTTCCGTGGACGAAGGAGGAAAACAACTGTTGGGAATAATATACTTTGCCCATATTTACCTAGGGTTTATGATATAGATGACAATTAAAATTGGTTAACATGTCAGCTATTTGCAATAATTATTGTTATGGTTCTGATCCTTGCTGTTGGGAATAATATATGCTATTTTTAAGACTATTGTATTCTGCATTTACAAACATACACGCAACACTGTTCCTGCAAAATCCCCAGCTTGCTATGATGAATATCTCCAAATGTATACACATAACCGACGCAATGGTAAACATACATATCTGTAAGTTTATGGTACTGGTCGAATGCTTAGTCTTATGCTATGGGAATAGTGGCCGAAGACATAATGAAAGACCTGCAGGATGGGCTAGCAATCCTGAATATACAGATAGCTAGTTGTCTGACCAGGACTCCTTAAATAGGGTATGAGCAAAATATTGCTCAAAGAGGGGAAAATGAAGGAATTGAAACAGTTAATCTGTTAGTATTCTATAAGGTGAATTATTTTGTAAATGTAGTAGCAAGCTCTTTTGCAGAACCGCTTACAAAACATAACTGAAAGGAAGTCACAAGCTATGACAGTTTTTACGTATCAGGAGATGCTTAACCACAATGTACATGTGATATTTTGTAAGATCAGATTATTGAATGTAACAGCAGAAACTACTTCCTCTTTTATGTATCTTGTGTAACTTTCTGTAACCAATGTTCGTGACAAATATTGTAAAAATACAAAGCATTTTGAATACATTGTCAGAAGACTTTTGGAAAGCAATCTTGTGTCTGTCTCGTTATTCTGCTTCCATAATTCTTCCCTGAGCTCAGGTGACAATCGAGGGTTGGAGAACCGTGACCAGAAGGGATCGAGTCATCAGTTTAGCCTTTCAATAACATACAGAGATATAATTTCTAATTAGTGGGGTAATAGCTGCTTGATCCAAGGAGACATCTGACTGCTATTTTGGGGTCAAGAAGGAATTCTTTCCTAGTTTGTTGCAAAATTGGAAAGCGCTTCAGACTAGGTTTTTTTGCCTTCTTTTGGATCAACAGCAAAAACATATGTGAGGAAGGCTGAACTTGATGGACGCAAGTCTCTTTTCAGCTATGTAACTATGTAATATCTATGCAACTTGTCGATTTCTTGCAATTAGAGGGTAAACACAACCCTTTTACTGATCAAGATAGATGCCCCTTTGGTTTTGGAAGTGGTCATGGAGTGGAATTTTATTGGGGTTTATATATGTGGGGAAATTGGAACTAATGTGGTATAGAAGGAATCTATGTTCGTTGGGTGGCTCACCTTTCCCAGCTGTAGCAAGCAGGGTGTCCTTCCCCGAAAGTTTTACCCCATGTGTCAACTTTTTTGAAATGAGGACAGGCACTCCCGATTCACCAGAAGGTCGTACCTATGTAGGGATGAAAAGTAGAATCGGCCACCCACCTGGCCGGATTAGGGATACAAAAACATGGATAATATGTACAAAAGTACAAAACAACTATATACAGTGCCATTGGGGTAGGAACACGTGGCTCCTTCATCAGACATAGTTGGACTGACGTGACCGAAAGACTTTTGTGATACAGGTGAGCTCTAATACTCTAACAGTTTGTGGTGGTGAAAATTTATTTATTTTTTCCTTTTCCCTCCCATGTTTGTCCAGTGCCCTTTCTTGTAACCTCAGTAACTTACTGTTCAGTCTACTGCTATATAGGTTGGCCAGGGTGTGGTAGTGTCAGTGTTCCCAGTGTAAACGGGTGTAATCTTAATCAGGTAGTGCGATCAGTCTCCATCCCCCAGCTGTTCCCTGGCATTGTGCGAAGCTTTGAGGACATAATGGCACATTATTTACATCCTTGGGCACTGGTGGGATACTGTGGGCCCTTGTTCTGGGTACCTAAGGGCATGCTCGGCTAATAGTTCTATCAAGTAATGTTAGGACTGTGAGTGGAATTCCTTCAGTCTACTGGTCCTCTTTTGCTATAGTCTCTTCCTGACCCATCTCCAGTCATCCCCCTTCCCCCCCAACAGCAGAAGGAAAAGGGATTATCATATAATATATCTCAACTAAGCTCAAATGGTAAGCTGCTTTTAACACTCAGAATATGTACAGTGTGCTGGTGCCCGAAAGGGAATCAGCAGGTGTGTGTTAGGGACTCAATAGGGGGTAACCCTCACTTGTGCGTGAGAAAACTGTAAAGTAAGTGATTCCTGGACGCTACAACCGCCAGGGCTCACAAAAAAAAGATCTGATCCATATGTTCAGTACGTAAAAATTAAAACATAACTTTTATTGAGACTTTGAATCCTAAAACCTTAGTAAGAAAATCTAACATGATTAATAAACGTGAAATATACAGAATACGTCAGTGATTAAATGGAAGAACAGGGATAGGTGTCTAAAGTAAACACTGTTGCCGTATAAACTAACTATAATTAGTATAGACTGTCCTATCCAAAATAACCGTGGCTCCTCTCTCGGGAACTTGAGTGAGCTATTGCTCATGCACTAGTGGCAATAAATTACACGGGGTACTAGGAGTCTGTGGGTGGTGGGTGGATGGTGTGGTGACATTCTGTCAAACTAATATGGTGACCAGGGGTCATGTGACCAAGCTACAGGGGATAAGCTTTACCCTTTGAAATGGTAATTGTGTAATACAATACCTTTACAAGTCAGGAGAGAGATAACCACTTCCCCCTTTCTCCATTCCTCTCTGTTCCTTCTTGGCTGTGCTGCAGAGCAGATGTGCAGATGCCATGTGCTAGCATGGTGAACCATGTTACACTCTGTTGCTTCCTTTTCTTCCTTGGTGGATGTGATGTTGAACTTGCAGCAGTGAGCCATTACTAGATGTGAAGGCCTAACCGTGGGTGAGATCAAGCCTGTGGGGAAGGGGTTACTATATAGATAGATAGATTTAAAAAGGGTTGTTGCTCCGTGGGTCTGGGCTGTGTGTTAAGTAGCCTAACCCCGGCTGGGTACTAAATACGAGGTAACCAGAAGGTAATCCTATTTGTTTCTTAGAATAAACCTCAGCCGGCTAAATTATATGGCTGTACCAAGAATGGGTAACTCCGAGACAACTGAATGCTAGCGTAGGCTGACAGAGCGACTCGCTACGAATAAACTGTGAAGTCAGGACTACCTACAGAGCTGCTTGCTGTAAATAAAATATGAAATCCAAAACCTGCCTCGGTGGCCCTTAAAAGGGCTCCTGGTTAGCTAACACCCCGCTCCCGACCCCACAGCTGTCGGTGCCCTAATATAGAGAGGAGCCAGGCGGTTATCTAAAGAAAATAAGAAAACCTAACGTGCGTTTCGGCGCTACAAAATGCGCCTTCGTCAGAGGCAATTCTAAAAATGCCGCCAACCAATCAAGTTTAAGATGGTATTGCCAACCAATGAGGTGAGGGAGGCGTGCCTTGGGAGTTCCCTCCAAATCCGGGCCAGAGGTCACGCCACTCCCCCCATTCCACAGCATCCTGTAGGTAAAAGAGGATGACGAATACCTGGGAGGAGAAAGGAGGTCGGTCAAAAAGGGACCTCCAGCTAACCTTTAACCCCTGGATGGAATTGGCTGAATTTTGGATATGTTTATAATTAAAGTGTGCTGAGTTCGAATATGTAATTTGTGGCATGTATATTTTTTAAATTTATTAATATTTAGTAAAAACTAATTAACCCTTAAATCACAGGATCAGCATAACCAAAATCCCTGATACAAGTTCCCAGTGTGCTGATTAATAAGTGGCATTGGGGAATACAACCAAGACTAATATACACTCACGCTGAGTGCCAGCCTATAGAGGGGTGGTAGGAGCTGTGCTCACTTGCACCACCTAAAAGTCACCACAATGGGTGAATAGGTCATGGCCATGTGGTATAACCATCAATGGTGGGATGGGTAAACGGTATAATAACAAATGTCTGATTCCCTTAAGTCAAACTCGTGATCAAAAATAGAAATAATGTGCCATAAATACATAAATAAATAAACTGAAAAAGTATTTACACTTGGATCATATCATGCTCTCGCTATATGTTGCTGGCATTGTCCTTGTATTTACTTATCTATGAAGAGTAGAAAGGTAAACCCTTCATAAAGACCTCTAGGAGCCAGGGTATTGAACCTGTATATCCAGAAGCATTCTGTTTTAAGGAGAATTTGATCAAGATCGCCTCTTCTACGGCCCAGATGCTCCTTTTCAATACCTGCGAACCTCATACCATTTGAGGAGCCATCATAATGTATCCTAATGTGCCTAGCTACTGGAGTGTCTTGATGCTGAGTGGCCAAATGGACATGTTCCATCACTCGCCTTTTAAAGGGGTGGATCGTCTTGCCCACGTATTTGAGTCCGCACTCGCAGGTCAAGAGCTACACTACCCCCGTTGAAGAACTGTTTCACACTGCAAACCACATCCCCAGTCAAGTCTGTCAATATTTTAGATGCCTTGTCCATATATCTGCAGGCCACACATTTCCCACATCTATACGTTCCCTGCAGAGCCAATTGGTGCCTACATTCCTGGAGGCAAAATGACTTGGTACTAACACCTCCTTAAGATTTTTCCCCCTCTGTGCGGTGAGTGTAGCCCTAGGTCCTACTACCCCTGCAAAATTAGGTCCTGAGTCAATAATGGCCAGAACCTGCCCATAATCTTCTTTGCCTGTGTCCAGCCCAAATCAAAATTAGCGACACCAATTGGGGTGTGTCTTTGAGTAATGTAGCCCGATCACTCCACAGTGCTCTCTGGTACGCATATTTGAGGCATCTACTGGGATACCCCCGCTCTTTAAATCTCTTTCTCAGATCCTTTGACTGAAGGATGAAATCATCCAATGTGGAGCAGTTCCTCCTTAAACTGAGGTATTGCCCCACGGGGATACCTCTTAAGGGGATTGGGATGATGGCTTTCCCACCTCAACATAGTATTCGTTGAGGTGGGCTTCCGGTATAGTGTGCTCTTGATATGAGACTCATCTGTGACCATCAACGTGCAGTCTAAGAAATTGAGTGAGAGATGTCCTATTTCCATAGTGAACCTAAGGTTCAGGTTGTTAGAGTTGAGTCTTTGAATGAATTCTGTGAACAGCCGGGGTTAGGCTACCTTTAAGTATCGCCATTGTAGGCGTTTTTTTATTTAACAGTTGATTAACAGCAAGAAGCTCTGACAGCTTACGATAGTACTCAATTGATTCAGGGATACTCATTTTTGTACAGCTGTATATTTTAGCCGGCAGAGGTTTATGTTAGTTTTTCAAGGAACGTTTTTCAGGTTACCCGGTATTTATTACCCAGCTGGTGTAAGGCTGCCTCTGAGTATTGCCATTCACTCACACAAGATACTCAGGGGCCATATGAGCTTTGTTAGCAATATACATCTAGAAGACCCTTTTTTCACTTGCTTTATCAGGTCTCCATTGGAGCTATTACTGTGGCAAAACCAACCTCGCCACTGGGCATTGGAGAAGCCTGTGTGCCCGCCTCCTGACTATGGCCCCTGGGAGATTTGGCCCATTATATACAGTATTTGGGCATATTGTATTTTATTATGCTGCTGCTGGCCCTTTAAGAACCATCTGGGGACACACTGTGACTTTTGGGAACAATGCCCCTTTAAGACGGTGTCCCCAGACTGTTAATATACTGTGTTCCTGGCTTTCTCCCACTTGGTTCAGTGAATGGGGCTTACTGAACAAGGTACCACACAGGCGGACCACGCAGAAGTGGAAGTGTGCAGGCATTTTACCTCCCAGGCTGGGAACCTGCTGTAGGTAAATTGCCGAACGCTGGGGGGCCGTCATTCGACAAATGAACACGTGGTGGCGTTCATCTTTTTTTATATATTGCGGTCAGCGGTGTATGTAGCCAAATTCATGGAACTGAAATCGGCTACACAGTTCCACGAACAACACTGAGCCTTACCTTCTCCCACAATGATTTTGCACCCGCAGAGACTATGTCCCATTCGGCGATGGGACTTAGTAGTTTTTTTCAGCCTGAAATAGACCGACCGCACAGCCCAAATCTATGGAACTGTTTTAGGCATGAAAATGTGCTTGCAGTCGGTCAAAAAGGGACCTCCAGCTACCTTTTTAACCCCTGGATAGAATTCTGTTTTTCTAGAGAAAGATTTGTCCTCGGGTATTCTTAACAAACATGAGTTTAATTTCTTAGATAAAAAATCCCCAATTATTCCGGTTATCTATTTTCTCCCAAAAATACATAAAAATTAAACTAATCCTCCCGGTAGACCAATAGTGTCAGGAATAGGCTCTCTTCTCTGTAACCTTTCGCAATACATAGATACTCTTCTTCAACCTGCTGTTAAGAAAATGAAATCTTACTTACAAGACTCAATGTCCCTTTTAAACTTTTTAAATCATTTTAAGTGGAATTCTAACTTTATTTTAGCTACATGTGATGTACAGTCTCTGTACACCATTATACCTCACAATTTTGGATGTGCAGCTATTAAAAATATTTTAATCAGTGAAAACAGACTCTCCACAAAACATAGATTTTATATTAGAAGGGATAAATATTATTTTTAAAAAATAACTATTTTTGGTTCTTAGACTCCTTTTATCTACAAAAAAGAGGCACAGCTATGGGTACCAGGTTCGCCCCAAGCTATGCCAATCTATTTATGTCAGATTGGGAATCTTACGCAATATATGATGGAGACCACCTTAGGGCGGACCTGGTCTCATACTTCAGATATATCGATGATCTCTTTTTTATTTGGAACGGGTCTGAAGAAAGTCTTACTTCTTTTATTGATAATCTAAATATTAACAATAAAGGTATAATTTTAACTCACGATTTTAGCAGAGACAAAATAAATTTTTTAGATCTTGATATTTTTATTAAAGATAATAAAATACAAACCAAAACGTTTTTAAAAAAAGTCTGTGTCAATACAGCCATTGACAAAACTAGCTGTCATTACAAACCATGGCTCCACAGCGTCCCAAAAAGTCAATTTTTAAGACTACGAAGAAACTGCACTGATTTAGATAATTTTAACGAACAAGCAGATATTTTAAAAAATAAATTTATGGAGAAGAATTATCCAGAAATAGATCTATTGAAAAACATTAATGAAGTAAAAACTATCGACAGAGATGAACTTTTAAAATATAAAATTAAAACCAAAAATGATTCTATATGTCTCCCTATCACTTTTGACTACAATAATAAAAGTAAAGAAATTAAAAAAATCATTAAAAAACATTGGCACATTTTAGAACAAGATGAAAAACTTAAAGAAATTATTCCAAATAAGCCAAATATAGTTTTTAGAGGAGCTCCCAATTTTAAATCTATTTTAACTACTAATTTTACTAAAAAAATCTCAAATACGAATCCAATATCATTTTTTCCTCAAGCAAAAGGTTTCTATAAATGCAAAACGTGTATTGTGTGTAAAACTACCGATTCCACTCTACCATCTAAAATTACCGAATTTACTTCCAATAGAACGAGAACTACCTATCAAATTAAAGAATTTATAAGTTGTAACACCAAAAACGTGATTTATCTGCTTGAATGCCCTTGTGGCTTCCAGTATGTTGGAATGACCACAAGGTGCCTGAAAATAAGGATAAGCGAACATTGTAGAAACATTAAAAATGGATACTTAAATCATTCAGTATCCAAACATTTTTTAAATCACGATAAAGACCCTAAACTATTAAAATGTATGGGAATTAAAAAATGTTCAATACCATGGAGAGGAGGTGATATTAAGAATATTTTAGGTAAAGTGGAAATGGAATGGGTTTATAAACTACAAACCCTCACACCACAAGGCCTCAATGCAGATTTTGATTTGCATAACTTTTTATAACTCATTTTTTATATTTTTTACACTTTTTACTCAATATATGTTCTATTTTTTATTTATATTTTATTTTTTATTTACCATTTAATATATTAATATCTGCTCCTAATCCACCCATTTTTTGTGTCCTCAATTCTATTTACTGTGTCCCTTATTCTGTGTTTTCTCATGTAATATCTGTAAGCAAATTTTAAAATGTATCTAATATGTTTTAAGTATTGATATCCCTGTTATATACACATGTTGTACATAATGCTTGTTTTTTATAACCCAACTTTGTGTAAATTACTGTAGAGACTTTGAACGGCTGACTAATAATGTGTTTGCCAGCCGTCCAGTATTTCTGGCAGTGACCGGCATAAATCAAACTACACTACCCAAGAGCCTCTGCTCTCTACGCCGGTCATGTGCCGCGGCGCCTCTCGCCGCCTACAGACATCGTGCGGCTTCGATATTGCAGCAGTGACCGGCATACACTTCCCATGAGCCTTCGCTCGCCCCTGCAGGTCACGTGCTGCGGCGTCATACTTCCGATCATGTGATCCTCTTCAACACAAAATATTAAAAAATTGAATGCTCGTTTTAATGAATTAACTATGTTTTATACAAGATATTAATCATATATGTATAATATTTTTAGCTCTTACTAATTTGATAAACTTGTAAAATATTCTGCTAATCCTTGCCTGTAATTGGTGCACTTGTTTTAGGCGCCAATTTCAATTACTGTATATTTGTTATATAAACTGTTCCATGCCAGGTTGTTGTTCTTAGCCATTTTTGATAAAGCCCATGAGGTGAAACGCGTTAAATGGTTTTTTAATGTGTAATTTAACAATAAAAACTTTTATTTGGTACCCTTATTTATAGGACCAATTTTGTTTTATTGTATAAACACATTTTTTATTTATTTGTTTTATCCTGGCATCTAACTGTTCCTGCTTAAAGCAAGCCACAGGTGGGGATTATTCCACCGGCGCTTAAATAATAGAGCAGTATTTCCTGCTCTATCATTGTGAGTATATTTTATTTTATTTTATATTTTGTTTTCTCTTCCTACTGAGAGCACTATATTCTATTTTTATATACCTTGCGGAAACCTACGCTACCCAAGCCGGACGGACGGACCCAATTCATCAGCAAATCCATTAGCGGGGATTAAACCGCTAAGTGCCTTTCAACTAAGAGCTGGTCCAAAAGCTCCAACAAATCTGAGTGTACTATCCTCCATTTTGTTCGTTTCGCTAATCCTCTCAGTACATACTATACCATTGGAAGTTTGTTGTGTTTTTATTTTTCATATACGGACTCCCTGAAAACTCGGAAGGATTAATCTTTGAGGACAGTATATACTACTTATCTACATATCAGTGAGACGTCTTTTTGCATTTTACTGGACTTTTTATATTAGTGCATGGACTTTGTTTTATCTCTCTTACTGTATTTTTTATTGTAATATTCTATTATCCACTTATTTATTTTATATTTTATTTACTTTGATTTTAGCGCAGCCCTTCACCCCCTCTTTCTTTTTCTATATCTTATTAAGGGTTCTTGAGGGATTCCCTTTTGAGGGTTGCAGCTCTCATCTTTGCTATTTAGCGCAGACTCCTCCCCCCCCCTTTTTTCTATGTTTATTTTTGAAGTTGTGATAATTATATTAACCATTGTGTTCAGTAATCATATCACAGGCAGAGGGGAGGATTTTGTGTGGGAGTGTCTGTGTTTATTGTACGGATTGATTGGTTGTATTTCAAAACTCTGTGGGCAGTACTATGTTTGTGGATTGTGAATAAAAGAGGCTGTATGTGCCAGTACAGTCAGTTCTACTTCACCCTTAATTTGGAGTGTCGTCTCTTATTGGGGGAACCTGCTACAAGGGATTGCTATGCTCTGCATACTCTCTTGCTATATTCACTGCTAAGCTCTTGTAAGAGCTTGTTCCTGTTTTTACTCTCTGAAGGAGTCTACGGTGGTTATGGTGTCTGCTGCAGTGCTTGGAGTCCTCAGGAAATGCTAGGAGTATCCTTCAACGGAGGTACCCAGTCGGGGTGCCCGTCGATCCATTACAATTACGTTTTTGGATTCTAGCAATTGATACATTGTGCGCCGGATGCAGGTGGACACAGTGTATACAAGCAGTTATTGTAGCACACTCTGTGGCTACACTCAGCAAGCAATAGCAACTGCAAAGGATATCACGATCAAGATACTAGCGATATGAGGAGTGATATGGTCCCTTTCAGTTCTGTACGCTATGTTATATAGCTTGATGGAGCAGGATTAGGCTATCTATAAGTCTAGCAACAGGGCGCTCATCCTTTAAGATCCTCAAGCTAGAGATTCAGTGCCACCTATTTTAGGTCACTGTACATGTTGTATATAATCTACCCCCCACTCACATACTCCCTGTACCCCGCGTAATTTATTGCCACTAGTGCATGAGCAATAGCTCACTCAAGTTCCCGAGAGAGGAGCCAAGGTTATTTTGGATAGGACAGTCTATACTAATTATAGTTAGTATATACGGCAACAGTGTTTACTTTATGCACCTATCCCTGTTCTTCCATCTAATCACTGACGTATTCTGTATATTTCACGTGTATTAATCATGTTAGATTTTCTTACTAAGGTTTTAGGATTCAAAGTCTCAATAAAATTTATGTTTTCATTTTTACGTACTGTACATATGGATCAGATCTTTTAGGGACCTATTTTGTGAGCCCTGGCTGTTGTAGCGTCCAGGGATCACTTACTTTATAGTTTTAACACTCAGAATACAAATACTTTTAATGAGGTTACTTGGTGTTGGAGGATATAGAGATAAGTGTAGAATCTCAGAAATGTCTATATGCGATTAGGTTCAGCGCCCTCTTCGTTGGGCCTTTGTCCAGCCCGGTAGGAGTCTTGTTGTTTCCTGGGAGGATCTTGTTGGCTCTGGTAGGATGAAGCCCAAGCTCCGTAGTAATTCCAGGCCTTCTTCCGGAGAGGATATTGCAACAGTCTTATTATTTCTGTGCACCAAGAGTTTAACTGGGTACCCGGGACGGCAAGCGCCTGGCATGCAGAGCTCCTGTGACATCCCTGAAGTCTAAGCGTTTTATGGTAAAGACCGATATGTCCGCATAAGGCTCGGACAGGTTTTTGTTGGTGCGATTTGCTTTGAGGATCTCTTCTTTGATGTGGTAATAATGTAGCCTTACCAGAACGTCCCGCAGCACCTCAGGGGCCAGGAACGCAGGTTTGGCCGTTTGGTAAAGGCAGTTAATCATGAACATGTCAGGGGAGAAGTCTAGGGCTAAAGTCTGCAGTAGCCCGGTAACACTCTGTCAGATCCCCTTGTCCCACTTTTTCAGTGATGCCGCGAATACGGATGTTGTTTCATCTTACACGGTCCTCACTATCCGCCAGTTTCATTTCATTTAAGTCCATTTTGGAAGGGCATTATGGGCCTCAGCGAATTCTGCCATTTTGTCTTGTGGTCGAGGTTTGCGTGCTCAGGTCTTTTAGATCCTTTCGGGGGTCATTCAGCACAGCGTGGAAATTGGCAAGTAGTTTGGCAGACATGTCGTCTAACATTGAGTAGCCCTTTGGTAACTGCAGGGTCTGTCTCCATAGGGGTTAGGGCCTGGTCCGCGTCTGTATTGACACCATCTTAACTCATCTCAGTGTGCGCCAGGTTTTTCCCCAAAGTTGCCTTGGAGGCAAAAAAGTTGGTCTTCTCCTGCCTCCCAGTGTTCCTCTTGCCTTTGAGTTGAGACATTTTGTTTGAGCTCTGTTTTGTAGCTTATTGCTCAGGTTTTCTGTATTGTCAGGTCGGTGCAGCTAGAGCATGCGACTGCGTCGAGCTGCATCCAGGACATGCTCCCCAGTGTCTCCTTTTGACAGCCGCTAGAGGCGCTCCTCTTTTTGCTCTCCTTTCAAGTTGATGGTACCCATATCAGCCAATCCTTGCAAGCCTGCTGTCTTGGTGTTATACTTGATTCTGGCCTCACCCTTGAGTCTCATGTTCAGTCTGTTGCCAAATCTTGTTGATTCCACCTTAAAAACATTGCCCACGTCCGCCATTTCTTACTCAAGATACTACTAAGGAGCTTGTTCATGCTCTAGTAATCTCTTGAATTTATTATTGTAACTCCCTCCTAATTGGTCTTACCAGAAGTCGTACTACCCCGCTACAGTCTGTAATGAATCCTGCCACCCGACTGATTTTCCTCTCCAGCCGCTCTTCTCATAGTTCACCCCTCTGTCAGTCCTTACACTAGCTTCCTGCATCCTACAGGAGTCAATTCAAAATACTAACCCTTCCGTAAAAAGCACTGAACAACTCTAGCCAGTTAAATTTCTTCACTGATTCATAGGTACGCCCCTTCTCGGTCCCTCCACTCGGCTGATGACCTTCTCTCGGCTGCTGCTCGCACCCATACTGCAATCTCACACTTCCTTTGAAACAACCTGCCTACACCAGTCAGACTCTCCCCTAATCTTCAATTGTTTAAGAATTGCCTTAAAAGCCATCTCTTTAGTAAAGCTTATGGCCTCCCAGAGTAACCTCTACCTCACATACCTGTCTCTTGCTCTCTCCTAAAGGGCAGCACTCTACTCTCTCCTCCAGCTCTGCTTCACTCCCACCTTATTTGGCTGCTATCCCCCTCAATGCCTGTTCTATTGTGTTTTATACCCCACCTCTAGACTGTAAGCTTTTTTGAGCAGGGTCCCATTAACTTATTGTTCCTGTAACATTTTGTACTGGTCTCATTTATTGTTAAATCTCTTGTAATATTGTAAAGTGCTGCGGAATATGTTGATGCTATATAAATACCAATAATAATAATAATAATAATAATAATTTGCAGTTATTAAGCTTTTTGTCTTTACACTTAGAGGAGGTTTTGTTGCGATAGTGGCACCTGGTAACGGTTTCTAGTCTCCCATACTCAACCCTACGTGACCTATTCTTCAACTCAAACAAATTTAGTAAAATGCCTTCCATACACTCCTTGACGGAGGGCCTTTTTATTGCACGCATGAGTTTGAGACTGCAACAATAAACCATCAGTTGCAAGTCATTTTCTGGGGCCTCATGTTCCATCCATGAAGAAAATACTGAAACATCTTGGAGGCTTGTGTTCAGATCCAAATGCAAGAGTTAGGAATCACTGCTCCCAGGACAACTCCGGTGACAATTAAAAATAATTTAACATGTAAAAAGGGCATCTAAGCTGGTCAACTACCAAACTATAAGGACGTAACTCACACAATTCCATAGAGACACCCGTGTCATGTTTATTAAATAAATTAATGTTACTAATCCATAAAAAAATATTTTATGGAGATTGGAAGAAAATCAATGACATTCATCAAACAACATGGCTTAATCTACAAACAGTAATGGGGACGGACTCATTGGAAGAGACTCCTCTTCTTGATTTAGTTCGTTAAAAGAAGGGCAGGGACAAATGCTCAAAATCCGTCCTTCCTTCCAGGTCTCCTGAAAATCGTGGAATTAAGCTGAAAATCAGTGATTGTTTCCTTCATCAAATGAGTCAACGCCCGAATCGCTGGCAGCAGCATTAATTTTTTCTTGTCGTTTTCTCATGATTTCTTGGAGTTCTGAATTACCATTCAGTTCCTGGACAGAGACAGAAATTAATTTTAAAACAAACACAAACTGTAAATACATTTCTATTTGAAACCTAAATGACAGATTATTAGAAAGATGGAACAGAACATGTTCAGTGCTGGAGGGTTTCAATCGTTCTAGTTTGCTGCGGTTTTATTCTAAAAAACTTGTTTCCTGTAATCTCCTCAGCAAATCCCAATGTTACTTTCAACTCCATCTTTTCCACTTCTGTTTTCACACCTCATGCATCATTAACAGTCCAAGATATTGCCATTCATTTTAACACTATTACCAAGCACTGTTGGATTGAAAACAAATTAGCAGCAAATATATTTTATGTTAGCACAAACAATAAAACAGCTATTTTGTGGATTGTTTTTAGACAAACATAAAAAATGTACATTTATACAATTAATTTATTCTTCAGTTAAGTTTCTAAAGCATTACTCTGATTGAGTAAAAATATGCTTGCTGTCCACTGACGGCCAAAGCAATATCTTTCTTACTAATGCCGGGGCAGAGACAAAAACAGGTACCGGGAGGACAACTTCAAGGTTAAACTGATTAAATTATTATTATTATTATTGCCATTTATATAGCGCCAACAGATTCCGTAGCGCTTTACAATATTATGAAAGGGGATTTAACTATAAATAGGACAATTACAAATAAACTTACAGGAACAATAGGTTGAAGAGGACCCTGCTCAATCGAGCTTACATTCTATAGGAGGTGGGGTGTAAGACACATTAGGACAGGAATTAAAGCCCATAAGATGACCTCCAGCACCCATAACAATATAAACCATGTATTTCTAACAGAGAGGTTAAGGTCACACTCTGGCGTAAGGAATACAACCATCCAATCTTCTTTATTTAGAGCCCCCCTCCCAATAATTTAAAATTGGATTAAAAATAAATAAATAAAAACTCACTCTTTTTCCACAATGCATCGATCGGTTATCCATGACACCATTCTTCTAAATATCTCATCCTATACTCCTCCTAGAGGAGCAATAGGAATAAAAAAAACAGTTGTGCCGAACAGTGCTGCTCTCCTTTTGGAGGGCAAAATGTGAGACCAGAGCTTGACTTTGTTCTCCCAGTGGTAGCACCTCTAGTGGCTTTCCGGTAGACACAGCATTAGAGAACTATTTAAACCTGCAATGTAAGCATGGTCATATCTACTTGACAGCAATGCTTTACATTGAATGGTTAAAGCCAAAGGACCACTGCATCTAGCCTACTTCATCTGGGTATCTTTAGTGGCCCTTTAAATAGTGTTATAGTAATCTTGATCAATTCCTGAAATGTTAATATAATGTGAACAGTTAAATGGGATAGCCCATTCACTTATCCTCCCAGACTGTAGAAATAGCATGACCCTATAAAACTTTGTTTACTGTCGGAAGGAGAAGGTAGATGACAATTTCAGCACACTTGCAGACAACTAAATGAGTGTCCAGTGGCTCCTGGCAAAAAAACGTGTTCTCCAACAGACTAGTAATTATTCCTGGCGTATAAATGAGGGGAAGTGAGGCTTTACAGACTAAAATTTGTTTTGCAAAGAAAATGAAAGTAAAAACATTTATTGTTATGCACAATTTTGGGAGTAAGGACAAGATCAGCACCTTCAGAAATTACTTTTCTATATTTCTTTACACAATACAGCAATTGTTTGCTCGGTATACTCACTCAATTTCTCTGCTTCTGGTGCTAAGGAAGAGGCTTTTCATTTCACCCCTGCCTAACATTATTGGGGGTTTTCAACTTTCTCACCTGCAATTTAGACACATACTTCTGACAATCGTGGTGTGTTATTTTAGACTGAGGCAGTAACTCCTCTTAATCTTCTTTAGTAATTATTTAGGAGTCATAGATAATACTTTACACCTTAGTTTTAAATATACAGTGGTCAGCTACAACATTAAAACTACTTGCCTAATGTCATGTTGGTCGCCATCATGCTGCCAAAACTGCTCTGATGCTTCGAGGCGTGGACTACATAGGACCCTGAATGTGTCCTGTGGCAGCAGATCCTTTAAAGTCCTGCAAGTTGCAAGGTGAGGCCTTTGTGGATCAGATTTGTCTAAGCACTTCTCACAGATGCTCAACCGGTTTACGATCTGGGGGATTTGGAGGCTAAGGCAACACTTTGAACCCTTTGTCATGTTCCTCAAACCATTCCTGAACAATGCAGTGTGGCAAGATGCATTATCCTACTGAAAGAGGCCATATCAAAGTAACATCTACAAGAATGCCAGGACCCAAGGTTTCTCAGCATAACAGTGCCTCTTACTTCTTCCCATAATGTATCCTGCTGCCATCTCTTCCCCAGGTAATTGACACACACGCACGCACCCGGCAATCCACCTGATGTAAAAGAGAAAGTAATTCATCAGACCAGGCAACCTTCTTAAAATGCTCCATGGTCCAGTTCTGATGCTCAGAAGGAATTTTAGGTGGTGGACAGAGGTCTTTATTGGCACTCTGACTGGTCTGCAGCTACACAGCCCCATACACATCAAAATGGGATGCACTATATGTTCTGACATCTTTCTATCATGGCCAGCATTAAGTGTTTCAGCAATTTGAGCTAGAGTATCTCTTCTGTGTGATCCGACCACACAGCCAAGCCTTCACTTCCCACACACATCAATGACACTGGTTGTCCTTTCTTGCACCACTTTTGGTACGTACTAACCACTGCATACTGGGAACACCCCACAGGACTTGCTGTTTTGAAGATGCTCTGACCCAGTTGTCTAGCCATCTCTATTTGGCCCTTCTCAAAGTCACTCAGACTATTTTTCCTGCTTCCAACACATGAAATCCAAGAACGGATTATTCACCTACTGCCTATTATATCTCACTAAATAATGGTCCTGGTTGGTAGACGATTAATAATATGGCGCAGAATGAGTAGGTCGTCCAGTGCATTACCCTTCAGGCTTGTTAGACTTGGGCAATAAACTGCTAGGACAAGTAATCATTTTTTGCTTGGAAGTAGTCTCTAAAGTAGGCTATTTCAAGTAGGAGGTCAAATAAACAACGGGTTTAAACCAGCAAGGTAATTATTGTTTTATATGCCTGTACTTGTTGTGTTTAATAATTGTGATAATGGGTGTTTAACTCGGTGCACATGCATGCATGTCTGGATGAAGCTGTCCAGGGTCCATACAGTGCTTCATAAAGCAAGAGCACTAAAGGCCAGATTCAAACAAAGCGCAACCTTATAGAGTGCTTAAAAAGGCATTCCAAAGACTTGTAAATATGGATAGAGCCACAAACCTGAGAACATTTCAAATTAAATCTTCTAAATCAGATATACGCTGAGTGAGTACTTTTGACCAGTTCTGGGAACCTATTCATAGGATTCTTTCCCATAACTGGCCTATTAAATATGATAAAGATATAGTAGGAAATATCATTGAATTCCAAAGTGTGACTGCACATAGGTCTAGAAACCTAAGAGATCACATGGCCCACAGTCACACAGAACCAACTAAAGTCCAATCCACATGGCTATCAAGAACTAAGGCTATCAGTGTGAACGATACACAGCATGTAAGTATATTAAACCAACAAAGATTGTAGGAAGTACAGTGACAAAAGAAAATTATGATTAAAGACTTCATCAAGACACATAAAATATCTAATCACCTGTAGTTGCGGTCTACAGTATATTGGCAAGAAATTTCAACAGCTCCAGGGACTTATTTTACAGCATACACAAAAATAAGTCCTGTGCTCAGACTCTCACTACTCCTGACAAAACCAAAAAAACTCAATTTGTTTAAATATGCACAAGGATTTCAGTAGTGTGCAGGTAACTATTTTGTTTTTTTATTGTATCACCTATCTTAACATCTCCATCCCAGTGGCAAACCATGTGAGGAACCAACATAATGGGGATGACTCACACTTTGTTTTCCAGGCTTTGGAGCAAGTCAAATATAAATTCTAGAAACGGCAATTTCAATTTGGCTCTGCTTAAAAAGGAA